GATAACCTAAGGCATTATAGAGGCAAAGTACAATATTTGGAAAGTGAATTCCAATACACGATGTAGAAATCTATCCAAGAATCATACAACCACAAACCCAGTTCCCAACAACTGTTATCGTCACATAATGTTTTTTAATATTTCATGAAATATGTTTATAACCAAATGTATCTAATAATTAATTAAATGAGATTTAATTTGGTTATAAGATATAAGGGTGCACAAAAAACTGAGTAAACCACCAATCAGACGAAACCAACCCGAAAAATAGAACGACTAACCCAACCTGATGTTTCATTTGTTTATAAGTTAAACAAATCGATGAGAGTAGGGTTGGTCATCAATTAAGCTCATCTCAAATCAAACCAACCCCACAAAAATATTGCCTACTTACAATTTCTATTGTTAACTATATGTCAAATATTAAGCATGTCAATACTCCAACTATTTGTATATAGTATATTCTAATTTAATTGACTTAAAACGCAATTTTAATATTTATCAAAAACAAAAACCCGTGTTTATTGGTTGATGGTGTCATTTTAATCCCCAATATTCATATCGTAATATATATCTTGATACTTATGTTTGAATAAACATACATAAATTTAGATGACTGTAATATTTTCGAGTGATCAAGGATCAATCACCCCTAATAAAAAAATACTAGTTTGAAGATAAAAAAAATAATAATATGTATTAATCTTTTATTTATTAATTATAAATTTAATATTAATAAATTAACAAATATGGAAAAAATGAAAAATAAAATTAATATCACAACATAAATAAAATGTATTACATCATAAAATTGTAAACTTAATATATTATAAATTAAATACTTTTTTAGTTGATGTTTATAGAATCTCTTTTGTATGTTTAATATTGTTTTTTGTTTTTGTTAATTCATTAAATATACATAAATATAATAAAATTATACAAAACACTAAAAACTACTTTAATTTTCTTAAGCATTACCATAAATAATATTTTACTAAATCAAAAATATTTTATAAATTAAACTACAATATTTTATTTAACTAATTATTTTACTTTATAATAATTATTTGATTAATAAATTATTTGATGGTAAATTTCAATAAAAAATATTTAATTTTAGTTTAATTTTGATTTGATTAAAACATCATATTTTTTCTTTTACTTATTAACCAAACCAAACACGACATAGAAAATTAACGAAAAACAAAGTAAAGGGTGAAACAAGATACCGTCCATCAGACAAACACAAGCAAATTGAAAACCCATAATTTTTAATGAATATATTATTTATTTCATGATTTTTTTAAAATTTGAGTAATAAATATATAATTTTTATTTCTTTTAACAAAACAATATTTTTTTATTAACCTGGATATCCAACCCGCTATGCTAGCCGACTAATCACAGGGCGAACATCTGCTTTGCAGATAGCCCGGAGTCACCGTATTTGAACCTCCATGGCCACAAGGGGATTTTTATTCCTCTTTGAATTTGAACATGAGATCTCCAAATACTTTTGACCTTTGGAGCAAAGCTCAAACCAATCAAACACCACCCTTGTGGTTCAAAACAATATTATTTTGTTATGTATGAATGAGAGCTTGTAATATTCAAAAGATAGAAAAAAAAAGATACTTAATTTACCCAAGACATCAAATAGAATCTTTGTGGAAATGTGTATGCATATATGTATATATATGTATATGTATGTATGTATATGTATATGCATTTATGTATGTATGTAGAAAAGCATGCATAAAGAGAGACATTTCCTCTATAAATAGAGACATCATGTGTTCTTTCCATTCATTCAAAAACAAACCCCATCCTTTCCTTTTATCTCCCATGGAGGTAGAGAGGATTGGATAGCAATCATGATAATAATGAAATGTTGATTAATATTACTTGCTTTGCATCTTGTGCACTTCATATTATTCATTTTATCATGCATCATCTTACCTTCTTTCTTTCTCTTTATTCTTTCCTGTTTCATATCGTCAATATATCTGTATTCAATAGTCATGTTACTTTTAGCTGCTAAAACATGTTCAAGATAGCTGGATTCATGACATCATGGTTCTTTTTGAGATATCGTTAGGATATATGGCCAGACCTATAAAGCGTATATGTGATGTTGATTAATTTGGAGGAGGCGATGACGGATGTTGACAGAAGATAGAGAGCACTGAGAGGACATGAAGTGCATATATATAATGCACCTCGCTTCTTTGTGCTCTTTATACTTCTGTCATTACCCTTAATATTTCCTTCTCTCTCTAACATTTTAATCTAAGTTTTGTCTGAGAAAGAGGGAGTTACCATACATGCATATAATGTCAATGGGAGATGTTATAAACGGATCGAGCTTTGGATCACAGAACATGAGCGAGTTGTATATCTATGGATGATATCATTCAGGTCTTTTACAAAACTTTATTCAGGTCTTTCTCATTTTTTTTCATCCTCGTTTTGTAGGTCTCTTTTGACTATAAAATTAATGGATTAACGAATGAAGGGACTTCCTTTTTCCATTCTTAAATGATCTTCAAGACTCATATTTCACTAGTTGGTGTTATCTGGTATATTTGTCCGGGATCTGAATCATAGTTAAAACAGTTGAAAACTACCATTTTTGCAGTGAATTGCACTTTTAAAAAAAATTCATTATATCGTTAATATGTCTATATTTGGTCATCAGTTTTTGGTTTAAGAATGTGTCACTAATTCGTCGGAAGGCCATTGGTAGTTCTAATTACCGATGGAACAATTCCATATGTAAAGGTTTGCTTTCTTGTAGTGACGAATGACAAGATCAAGAAATAGTGAATAGCAATTGTATGAGTAACATCACGTTGAATTTGGCCAAATGTGGGTTGGAAATGGTTCGAGGCAACATCAAAACCACATTATCAACTTAACCTCGGTGATCAAGACCGTTATGCACCAATGATTACCTCAAATTTGAATAAGATCATATGTTCTTGCAGCATCTCCATCAACTGATCTAAAATAGAGATTTTGCAGGTTACTTATTTTGCTTCAGTAACTACTCTAAAATAGAGAAAACAAAAGAGAGAAGTTACAAAAGAGTGTAGCTGTTGGAGATGCTCTTTGACAACATCTAATAGACTCTGTGGCAGTTTTACGGTTCTATTCATCTCAATTTAACGAGTTCTATATATACACACACATACGTACACATCAATAGTAGTAGCAGAGGTATAACAAATTGTACACAGACTAGTTCTAATCATCCTTGTACGATCGTGGTTTTTGATGATATATACAGTTCGGTTTAGATCCAAAAAAGTTGGAACCAACTAAAGGTTGAACGGTTTATTCTCTTATATTTCTATATATTTAATCATTGGATACCGGAATATGTTTATATCTTATAGAGTTCCTATTCATATTTCCTTGTATATATATATCAGTTGTATTCAAGAATTCTGATATTTATCTAGTAAATACAGATATGCTAGAAACCTTAATTAGCTCATACTACAAATGGCTATGCTTGTTAATTCTTCCATTCTAGAATGGTTTTGTTTTTCGAAACAGAGAAAACGATGATAAAAGAAAGTTACAGGTCCAAAAAATACTTCATATTTATTGTGTATATTTAATTTTTTTGCTATATGTAACAGAGCATGAAGAAAAGGTTGTCGCATATTGACATGACGTGACATAGACTTAGGACAAGGTAAGAATAAGTAAGACAAAATTGACCAAAATAAGATTATTTTTACCAAAAGACAATTCGGCATCATCAAAACTTCCTTCCAAACAAATATATATATATATATATATATATATATATATAAGGTTTATTGGCGGGGACCTCATGGTCCCGTGGTCTACATTTTGTGAACCCTACTTGCCATACCTCATAAGCAAGCACCGGAAAAGACAACTTGTCCTCCTTTGGAATCGAACACGGGTGTATTGTTATAACAGTAGTAACGGTTCTTTTTATTGGGGTTTCGAAACTGTGAAAACGGGTTTCAAATTAGTAATTGAGGGGTATGGTGGTGGAATTCTTTTTATCGCATTGGTTTTGAAGGAAAAACCATCTACTTGCATTGTAGGGTTGATAGTTGAAACTGATTGTTTTGATTAACGTCTGGAGACCAATAAAATAAATAAAAAAATAGAAGGATAAAATGGTCATGTTCATGATTTAGATAGTTTTATTCAACGTAACAAATAAGTAATAATTTTATTTACTTCATATAACCAACTCTATAATGGGTAAAATTTTCAAAGTATAACGTTTTAATAAAAAGTGTATAACTGTAATAACAAAAATGAAATTAGAATGCTATAACAAGAATTTTTTAAAAAGTAAGTTATTATTTTGTATATTTAATTCCTTCAAAACAGATCTAGGTTCTTGTTCAAACACTTAATATCATAAAATAAAGAATCTTTTTTTTTATTAACCTGGATATCCAACCGGTTATGCGAGCCGACTAATCTTAGGGTGACCACCTGTTTTGCAGATAGTCCGGAGTCACCGCATTTGAACTTCCGTGGTCACAAGGGGATTTTTGTTCCTCATTGGATTTGAACCTGAAACCTACTGGTATTTTTGACCTTTGGAGCCAAGCTCAAGCCAATCAGGCACTACCCTTGTGGTTAAAATAAAGAATCTTTCTGTTATTTATAATCTATTGTTATTTTCTTTTTCATATTTTCTTGTAATGAACAACAAATTTACAAACTAGAACCACAAGGGTAGTGACTGATTGGTTTGAACTTAGGTTCCAAACGTCAAAAGTGTTTAGAGGTCTCAGGTTCAAATCCAATGAGGAATAAAAATCTCCTTGTGGCCAAGGAGGTTCAAATGCCCTAAGAATAATCGACTCGCATAGCATGTTAGATATTGAGGTAAATAAAAAAAAATTTTAATTTTATGATTCGGGTCGGGCCACAGCAAACTTATATCCAGCCCAGTTTTCAATTTCTTCTAATTTCCAGCCCAACGTACATTTTGAATTGATTTACAATTACGGATCGACTTTTTAGGACATGAACACTTCGACGGAAGAACGTTGTTCGGAGCTTGCAAAGGGATTGAACGGAATCAGAATTCTGGGTAGCACAAAAGGTGCCCTCTAGTTTTGCCCTAATTTCTCTAATTTTTGCCCTAAAACTGTTCTTTTCTGTAATTGACATTATTATTATTGCTCTGAATATGTGTAAAACTCATGTTGATCGTGTAATTCATTATGACATTCCGCAATTCTATTTTGGTTTTGGTCAAACACATCAAAAGTTTGAGATATCACATACCGTAGTAATTAGATTTGTAGTAATCAGAAGTTCAGAACATATTGATTTTGGTTGTTTAATTTGTGGTTTTGGTAAAGTAGAAAGTGAAAGAGCATATTGAACTTTGAACTGTTTGCTTGAATTTTGTTGGTAGTTGCTTCATTTGCTTGACTGTAAATGTAGATTAAGATGAAAAATCAATCCACTATTCATGGGTTTTTTAAAAGAAAACATAAGAACCCTTGCGTACCTGATTGGTTTGAGCTTGTCTCCAAAGGAAAATTACAAGGAGGTCCAGGTTCAAATCCAAGGAGGAATAAAAATCCCATTGTGGCCACGGAGGTTCAAATGCGTTAACTCCGGGCTATCTGTAGAGCAGGTGGTCGTCCTAGGATTAGTCGGCTCGCATAGCGGGTTGGATATCCAGTTAATTAAAAAAAAAAAGAACCCTTGCAAAAAAGCTCAAAATGAAATTAATGATATCAATCTTAGTTATGATTATCCTATAAATCATCAAGATACACCACTGCTAGAAGCCCCCCATCGTGGCTGCTGTTGCAGATCTCCATCTTGAATAGGGTAACTATGTTGTTTCAATGTTAATGTTTTCCTCCATGATTTCAATGGCTTCATAGAAATTGTGATGCTATGTTGAGACTATCACTACCGGAAGCGTTCAAATAACTTTGGCAGCCTTTTACTTGCACGGGGTGTCGGGGTGAAATTGTTATTCAATCAAACCGTATATTCAACACATAAAACAAGCATAGATTTAGCTTTACAGGACACATGCCTTTTACCATAAAGATATTTTTTTTTTATTAACCTGGATATCCAACCCGCTATGCGAGCCGACTAATCCCAGGGCGACCACCTACTTTACAGATAGTCCGGAGTCACCGCATTTGAACCTCTGTGGCCACAAGGAGATTTTGTTCCTCCTTGGATTTGAACCTGAGACCTCCTGGTACTTTTGACCTTTGGAGTCAAGCTCAAACCAATCAGGCATCACCCTTGTGGTTTTTTACCAGAAAGATTGCTTATTCTATGTATAGCTTGATGAAAGGAAAAAAAAACATAAGCCTTCTTGGGGTCTATGCTACTAAACCTTTATGTCCATGGCCTAATGCAGGGGTCTTTTACAGATATAGCCTCTCTGTTTCATTGGGTAGAGGTAAGGTTTGCCTACATCTTACCTTCCCCAAATCCTACTCTGTGTGGGACTGAACCTGTTTTTTGTTTCTTTTCTGAAAGGCGGATAGAATGAAGGGAAAGTGAATGGATGAGGGAGGGGAATGGAACCTGTTTTTTGTTTTTTAGGGTGCGTTTGGTATGCAAGGCAGGACAGGACTGGACATGACAAAAACTTGTTGTCGCATGTTTGGGACTGAGTGGGACAAAAAATGCACCTTTTTTAAGAAGATGAGACAAGATCGGTAAATTACTAAATTACCCTTGTCAAATAAAACCCCAAAACATTCGACAGTTTTTTCACCTGCCTACCTCACTCTCGCTTGTTGCTTCAATTTGTTTATCCCGAAGTGAATTTCTGCCTCCTTATGTCTCTTTGTTCTTCAATGATATAGCAGTCGTCCAAAATCCTATGATATCAATCTACTTTCATAGAACATTTGCTTATTTTTAGTGTTAATGAGCAGTTGTTTTCTAACTGCACATATCAGGTTTGATCTACAACCTAAGGAATGGCTGACGGAGAGGAGAAGTTGCCGAGGGATGCCAAGATTGTTAAAACATTACTGAAATCGATGGGGGTTGAAAACTATGAACCTCGTGTTGTCCATCAGTTTCTAGAACTATGGTATCGTTATGTAGTGGATGTGTTGACCGATGCACAGGTGTATTCGGAGCACGCTGGGAAGTCTTCTATTGATTCTGATGATGTCAAGCTTGCTATTCAGTCAAAAGTCAATTTCAGCTTCTCCCAACCCCCTCCACGAGAGGTATCCCACCCGACTAATCCCTAGCGTCTTTGTGTTTTGTTATATCTTTATAAAAACTGTGGAAGGTTTCGAGGTTTTAATTTAACATGGGCAGTTTAGTACTTTACCAAGCTTGTTCCATCTCCCTCATTTAAACACACATTTGAAAAAGGGTTTTTTTCCCTTAATAGGTCCTACTAGAATTGGCAAGGAACAGGAACAAAATTCCGTTGCCGAAGTCGATAGCTGGACCAGGAATGGCACTGCCCCCCGAGCCCGATACCTTGATCAATCCAAATTATCAGTTGGTGATCCTGAAGAAGCGAACGAGTGAAGCTGTTGAAGAAACTGAGGAAGAGGAAGAAGCTAGCGAGTCTAAGTCGCAAGATCAGAGGACTGACGTGCCACAAACTACTCCGCAACGGGTTTCCTTTCCTCTCGGCCCAAAACGTGCAAGGTGAAACCGTGTCTTAAGTTCATAAAGCTCGTTTTATATAACATTTATTTATCATATATGTTTTAAGTTGTTCATTTTGTATAGCTTGAAGCAAATGTTAGATGTTGTTATCTATGATTGTTCTATTTGAAGGTAGATGAAACTGAAACTAAGGTATGTTAGATGTGGGGGTGTAATGAATGTTTTCTTGAAGTGTATACTATTTATATATGTTTTCTCTAGGGGTAAAATTGTAATTCACATCATTCAAACTGTTATTCCACATAAAAAACAAACAATAATTTATCGAAATCTATATAGACAACTATATAAATAGTTTAATCCATAAAGATTAATGAAGAAAGAAAAAATAAAATCAAATCAACTCTGAGTTTGTTGTTACATACACTTAAACTGAACGTACACATCTCTTCCGCAGATTAAGGGGCCGTTTACCAAACGTTTACCCGGGTAAGCGCCCTTACCAAGTAATATTACCTCACCGGATGAATATCGTAAGGACCAAGAATCTTACCCGGTAAAAGCAAGACAAAGATCAAGAGTCTTACCCGGTAAGTGAGGGCGACGACTCTTACCACGATAAACGCTTACCAGGTAAATTATTGTATATTATGTCGTTTTGGTGGACTAAAATCTTACCCGATAAATGCATAATAGTATTAAATTTTACCGGTAAGCACTTACCGGGTAAGTGTTTGATAAACAGCCCCCAAGTATGCATTACCTGTTATGATGATGAAGTACCATTCCTCGAATCCTCATCGATAAATCCCCCATTGAACATCCTTTCTCTTGGCTTTGTTGCCTGAAATACCCGCAAGGATCACGATCTGTTGATTGTGCAACACAGTCGTAAAAGTGGAAAAAAAAATATGGTCGAGCCGAGAACTTGTTTTTCCCAATTAATCGAACATGTTACAAGAGTAAGCAGAATGCATTGCACGACCGATCCGATCGTTAGTCCACACCACAATCCTTCCCTGCTTTAGTTGAAATAAATAATATACATATATATAACTTATTAATCAATATATATAACGGGTACGGGGCAGGGAGTACGAGACCCATTTCCGTCCCCATCCCCGGTTTGGGACAAACGGGGGTCCCCATCCCCGATTTAGCGGGGAATCCCCGTCCCCGACAGGGGCTGGTGGACCGGATTCCTCGACGGGTCGAAGCCCTTTCCCATGCCTAATCTTTTCACATCAATATGATGTATATCATATATATCCTAAAATTCGAGTTTCAAAAATTTTATAGCATATATATAAAAACATAAAAATAATATGAAGATAACTTTTCATTATATTAAAACAACAGAAAATCATAAAAATAAAATTAAGAGAGACGGAGGGTAGAAGCATACTGAAACAAGAGTAAGGTGTCGTTTATCCAAATGTTTACCCGGTAAGTGTAAAGCCTAGGAGTCAACATTATAATTGATTTTACCAGGTAAGATTGTAGCATATCAAGAAGGTATCGTGTATAACAATTTACTCGTTAAACGCTTACCCGGGTAAGAGTCATCACCATCACTTATCGGGTAAGACTCTCTATCTTTATCATTGTTCTTACTAGATAAGATTTTCGGCCCTTGCCATGTTTCATCAGGTGAGGAAAATTACCCGATAAACACTTACCGAGTAAGTGTTTAATAAACGGCCTCTAAGAGTTCGAATTTTCAACATCGAAATCAAGATTAAACCATATTACATTATGCGGTACCCTTTTAGTTTGTTACAGTATTTACAATTTTACCAAAAAAGATAACCTTCTAATCATATTTTTCATCAAAACATATCATCTATTGATTGAAAATGGTATTTTAGCTATAAACGAGTTAATTTACAAACTAGTCCCTATATTATATATGGAACTAACAAAAAAGGTAAAATAAATAGGGTTAAATGTATGAAAAATTAACCTATTTTTATAAATTTTCTTATTATAGCATTACTTTTGTTTTTTTTATTACAACAATGTACTTTCAAATTATTTTTTTATTAAGGCGTCATATTTTAAGAAATCTATCCATTATAGCAATGGGTAACATGTTACCTTTTAAACCGGTTAACCGCTTGACTTTTTTTGCTTGTGTGACTTTAATGAGGTGATGTAGATGATACATCATTTTGATGACTTAATTAAAATAAAAACATAAACCTATTTCAAATTATTATTATTTATTTTCATTTTTCATTGTTATGATTTAAAAAAACATTTAATTTTTTTGACTTTTTCTTATTAAGTTGCATACAAATTAAATATTCTAGAATAAAATATTTCTTAAATAAATATGCTATATTATTTTCGAGATATATTTTGTTTGTAAAAAATGTAACACTTCTTATTTTATGTTGTTCAAAAAAATACATATCTTTTAAAACTCTCTCTAAAATGTTAACAAAATAAATTGTATTCTACATTTTTTTTAATATTGTTATAATAATAAATAATTCAAAAAAATCTAATTAATTTAATATATTTATATGTCAAGTAAAAGTTTTTGAACAAATATAATATATATTTTTTTAAAAATAATATCTTTTGATAAAATAAAAAAGAACAATTCTTATTTTTTTTTCAAAAAACACATTTTTTAAAAATATTAACGAGATAAGTTGTATTCTGCTAATTTTATTAATATTAGTATATTAATGAATAATTTAGAATTCTTTTGATTCATTTAATATATTTATTAAATAACATGTAAAATATCTACATATTAAAATTAAAAGTACATTGTTTAATAAGAAATAATAGTTACTATAATAAAATAATTTTGAAAGTACAATATTTTAATAAAAAAAGTCACATCACTATAGTATATATAGACAGCCTACGTGGACAATTAGATGGCATGGAAACCTGGTATAATAAGTAAATTTAAATCAAAGGATTACTCAACGCTATAATGGATAAAATTTTCAAATTATAATGTTATAATAAAAAATAGTTTAAACGTACATCGTTATAATAAGAAAAACTGAAAGTATAATGTTATAATAAAAAAATTATAAAAATAAATTGTTATTTTGTGCATTTTTCCTAAATAAATAAATCAAGAGTAAAATTGAAGTTTATTCATAAATTAATATCAAACACGACGGATCATAGATCATCCGTCGTTCTTAATATAACACAAATGTATCTTATCTTTAAACGGTTGAATTAAATTAAATCAGAAATATAATCAGTCATTGTTACATCCACTGAAACCATTTATAGACAGATTTTTGACAGATAGAAGTATGTGTTGCACATTATGATGTTGAAGCGGGACGGATCCAAGAACTTTTGGATACAGTGACATCATATAAAACGGTTGCACCTTCTAGAATAAAACGATTGCACATTTCACGAACCTAATTTTTTTTTACCTTACCATGAAGGAACAAAACGATAGCACGTGCCACATAACATAACCACCCCTCTAGGTCGTCATTCTTCTTCAACAAATCCCCCTCCAAGCATCCGTTCTCTTGCCTTTGTTGCCTAAAATACCCACAAGGGTCGTTATCAGTTGATGACATAACACAGTTTTTAAAGAAAACGAAACCAAATCTGTTGGTCGAATCAAGAACCTGTTTGTCCCAATTAGTCGAACATGTTACGAGCGTAAGTAAAACACATTGCACGACTGCTCCAATCATTAAGCCACTCCATAATCCTTTGCCGTTTAGGTGCACAACAAAACCAAGGACCAGAGCCATGGGGATTCCAACGATATAATACGATCCAAGATTAATGTAAGCGCCGATATGTTGCCACCCGCTCCCCCTCGCGACCCCTGTTTAGAGAAAACGACATTCGTTGGCGAGCTTGTTACGGTTATGAAGTTGTTATAGAGTTCTTTAAGGTTTAATCAATGTAAGAACCTGAAATAATTGCTGCTATTGTGTCTGCAAATATCGAAAAACATAGAAGAATAGTGATGTTGCTCACATACTCTACTAGTTCCTTTTCGTTACCGAATGCATACCCCAAAACCGAACGGGAGCAAAAGAGAGTGGTGCTCGCTATGATCACTTCGACTGCTCCAAGCATCGATACAGCCAAGATGGCTGTTTTTGCAGCCTTGGGGTTCCCAGCTCCTAATTCGTTAGCGACTCGTGTGCTACAAAAGGGGAGGTTTTAATTTGGGAATAGTTGAGTTAGGCAAAACATCAAACAAGTTGAGAGCAAACCATGCAGCAGCTCCAAGTGAGTAAGGTATGTAATAATGTAAGGCACCAACTGTTAGACTGTTGCAAAAGATGATAAATTAGTCCAAGATTTTCAAAAAACCGTCGCAATTTTTATGGGTTTACTGGAAAGAAGGTTACCATACTGAGAGCACTGAAGTCTCTAACTGGGGATTTGGCAAGAGCCCAGATAGCAAAACAACGATCTCATACGACCACCATTCAAGACTACACAATAAAAGTAAAATCAACATAGTACACGTTAAAAGAAACATCCATATTCCAAAAATCATCAGGGATTTTACCAAACCATGATAGCAGATGGGACGGCGAAACGAAAGAACTCCTTGATGCTTGGTAATACATCTCCTGAATATATAACACGAGTATTTTCACAACATTCTGATCGGTACACATAAACCCCCAAAAGAATTGCATTCAAGGTGTAAGAGATTCCGATGGCTAACGCTGCTCCAGCACCCCCAAATCCCAACCAGAACACGAGAAACCAACATATGGGTACATGAACAACGAGTATGATGACTGAGCTCCAAAGCATTGGCAACAATATACTTTGCGACTGGAGGTAGCGCATGAGCAATTGGAGAATGGCATAAGGAAAAAGGGCAGGAATGAGCCAGACTGAGAATTTACGAGCTTCAGCTGAAATCAAAGGATCTTGGCCAAGAACAATTAGGAGTTTGTCGATGTAGATCCACAAGATCGAAATGGGTAAACAGACGAAAAGTAGAGAGATAATAGCGGCATAGGTATAGGTCCCAACCTTCTTGTATTGCCCTGCTCCATAAGCTTGCCCACATAAAGTTTCCAGTGCACCCGCCATTCCAAACTGTATAAAACCATAGTTGATAAGTTGCTGAATCTGGAAAGTCGCAATTTTATTGGGTATAAAAAAAAGTAAAACAGAAAAGAGGAGATTACAAGAACACTGAAGCCGGTGACGTTGGTGAGGGACACAGCAATGGCGGTGCCGGCGAGTTCCAGTTCACCAAGATGACCAACCATTGACATAGACGCCACCCGCAATAGGTTTTGTGACACCGTCACTACCACCATTGGCAATGCTATGTAACAAGTTTTCTTCACCTCCTCCGCCAATACAACCTCCCATCTCCGCCGTACTTCCGCCGTCAACAACAACCCCTCCTCCATTATCACTCTCACTCTTGTGTGCTAGAAAGAGGACCAATTTTATATATAATAGTTGGTACACGACCAAGAATAAGAGAGTAATAAATATTCTTTAGTCATGCGCCAATCACGTGATCAAATTCATTGTGAAGATAATGGAATAAAATCTATTTTCTTTATTATTTTTTTCTGAATTTTTATTTCCGTACACGTGTCAACATAACATAGTGAGGTCACTTGCCGGCAACAATATGTATAATGTAATCTTGAAATTTAAGAGATTTTTTTACCAGCATTTTTAAAAGTTTATGACTTGTAATTCAGTTGACAAAATGATAAAAGATAGATCAAGAGTTTGTAACTTAACTAACTGATAAATACATTCAGATTAGAATAAATACCGGTTATATTTCTACGATATCACACTTTCAAAACCGATAAACATCACACGTGGCTCTCGTTATATGTTTTGTGTTCAACTTTTTCCTTTTAATGATAAATTATTCTAATAATTTTTTGTCACGGGTTTACGATATTATTTTATATTATGCATCGCATGGGTCATTGTTTTAAATACATTATAAGATTGTAATCGAGTAAAAGTCCAAAAGAGTTGGAATAAGATCAAAAAGAATTATCAAGCCATGTGTGAGTTGCACTTTTCAGTTTATTTGAAAATAAAATGATTTGTGAGGATGTTGCATGGTGGATAAAGACAAAAAAATGATTTGGATTCAGATTGGTTTTGATTGGGTAAAAAACCAAAAAGTCGATTAAAAGATGAAAATGTCTTTCATTTAACAGAATATTTTAATGGTTGTTGGTCCCAACCAGATCTACAAGTAACGGTTTTGTAGAGAGGGACATGAATACAAATACACCAACTTTCACTTTTAAAAAACTTATATTAAAAAAGAAAATCAATACAGATTGTTTAGGGAAAAAATAAGATACATAACTTATCTAAACAATCAAAGAAACATACAAGTTACGAATAGCAAAAAAGAAAATATTTGCTAAAAGAAATAGGTTAAGAAATCTTGTGTTCTTTACTTGTTACAGTGGAAGTCTTTCTCTTAAATAGAGAGTTAGAGATAGGGAAGACAAATGATAAGAAAGAACTTCTCGGCTATTTATACTCATCACATTAAATGCAAGTCAGAGGGTACAAAGCATGTGGCAAGCTTCAAGAAATGAGTTTGTCCTTTGTTGAAGATATACAATCTTTGGTCATATACGAACAGTAGTCTTTTATAAAGTAGGTAAGCACGCTTGGAGATAATAGAGTGACTCCGTACAGTAATTTACTTTGAGAGGTATGAGTTCGTCCTTTGTGTAGAAGGACAAGATAAAAATTAATCTTGTTCAACAAGATTCATTTGATTGCTACACTAGAATGACGTTGAAGGTCTCATCAGTGTTCGTTGAATCTTAAGTATATTTCATATTTGTGTAGACGAGCTTGTTATCACTTAAAACCGCATCAGATCACGAACTTGTTTGTTTTTGTCTTCAGCTTCTATCTTCGACATCGCTAAAGGTTATGTGGTGTGAGTTTTGTCTTCCTGAAGAATACTTGTCTCTGATAGAATTACAATATATGTTCAGCGAAAAACTGAACAGACTCGATGATGATCGATAAAGCTGAATACAGAGATTGTACAATTCGTAAGGTAAAAATGATCATCGTCAAATCACGGAGAGAAATGATCAACAATGACCGTTAAAAAAAGATGATCAAATCTGAATGTTTTTGCAAATCACAATCCTCATCTTATTTTCGAAACTACAAAGACAAAAATTATTATTTTTATCAAACTACAAAGACCAAATTTATAGTTTACTCTAATACTAATGATGTCACCAATTAGTTAAGAAAAGTAAACACTCCATAAAAATAAATTAAAATGTTCTTAAACGTTGTAAATTACGACTTTCGCCTTTTGTGCTTTGGAAATTGTGATTTCCGTCCATATAGTTTGTAATGCATCATTATTTTAGTCTCTAAAATTAGCTCGTACTTTTAAGTATGAGAAATGAAAATAATGATAAATTATAAATCAAAAAAATCATAAATCATAAATCATAAAAACAAAATCGAAGCCCATTTTTCGGCTACTTTATTATTATTTACTAGAAGGGTACTTGCGTAATGCAGCGAGATATATCTTGATTTTAGTGTTTTGTTTTATTCCGTCTCTGTAGATGTTTTTGTGTAATTTCTTTAATTCAATTTTTTTATTATAATTTAATTTAGATTTAATAACGAAGTAATAATATAGTTTTTTATAAAGATAAAAATTAAGTAGTTTGTTAGAACTCAATGATTATCTCAATTATATTTTTTATTTTTTTTATATTTAAAATGAGATATTTATTCTCTATTTGATTATGTTTATCTGCAGTTAGTTACACGAATTTAAACATGAAGCTTTAATAAGTTGTACTTACGCATAATTTACTTATAATATTGAATTTTAAGTAATATGCATCAATAAACACTACTTCATGTTTAAAAAATAGTTCTTAAGAGTTTTTGTCAAATGCTTTATAATATAGTATAGATATATTATTTTAAAGTTTTATTATGTACTTTATTTGTTGATATTTACATATTTAATTATTAATAAAACAATTTAAATACAACGTAAAAAGCTCCTCTCACCAGGGGCGCCTTGGAGTGTGCCGAGGGTGCGGGAGCATGGGGCCTCCGTTCTCGAGGGGCATCCGATAATCTTTTCTAATCTTGTATATAATAAAATTATATATAAAAGAACGAAGATACACAACCATTGACGAAAGGAATTGTTGTAGTGACCAAAAGGTAACATAACTAATATAAATGTTAGAGGTGATCATTTCCAGGTTTGGGTTGGACCCAACTTGTTTTTTTGTCCAACGGGCTTAATATTATAAATTCAAGCCTTTTTTTTCGGGTTTGACAACTTGTCATTCCCCACCCTATAAAACGGGTTGGACTTGTCCACGGACTAACGTAAATAAAAAGTGTAACTCTTATAAATTTATAAACTTTATCACTAGCAATTAATTAACAAATGTGGAAACAAAAATCAAAGAAAAACATTGTTGCAATTAAAATTTTAAACAACTAAAATGACACATGAATCTCAACAAATTAAAAAAACAAACAACCTCTTACCTTTTAGGTTCTTAAAAATATCCAAAGAGTCTCATCATATAACTTAATATTAGTATAATTTTAATTAATGGTAAAAAAATCTATATATATATTAAAGAAGAAACCAAAGGTAATGAGGTGGCACCTTCTAATGCTTAGAACCCTTCCTATCTTTTTTCTCATTTTTTTGATTTTTTTAAATGTTGAATATGTTAAAGACTTTTTTGCCCCTTGATGAAAAATGTATAGCTCATAATTAACCCGGGTTATTTTTGTAATTTTGTATACCCAAATTTAACCTCCAACTCTTGATTTGCTCTTCCATTTACTTTCTTTTATTTATTAATGAAATTTATTTTTTAAAGTTTCAAAAATAAACAAAATAAAATCATATAAAATCCTTTGGTGAGGGATGAAGAAGATGAGAGTTGAAGAAGAATTCAAATATTTTAAAAGGTATGTAGAAATTATATTCATTAAAAAAATGTGATTTGTTATTACATGTTTCTTTTTCAATATTATTGGATGTGTTGTTATCATAGGATATGATTGTGTTTACGATTGGATTATATAAATTGTGTTTACGATTTGATCATATAAATTCGAATAAAATTTTGATATTTTATAATCACATGATATGATAAACTTTTTTCGAATTTAAGCTTTATTAACAACAACTATTTATTCATCTTCATCTCTCACACCCTCTCAAATTCTATCT